ATAGATAGCTAATTCGTAACTTATTGTTTTTGCAGTATGTTAGAAACATAAAATAACATAGCTGTAAGTACAAGCTACCAGGAGAGCTTAGAAGTGCCAAATCTAGTTTAAGAAGGCTGAGGCACTCAACTAAAATAAAAACTAAAGTTGTTAGTAAGAAAATCCTAGTATGTCTGTGATGGTACTGAAGAAATCCTTGTAAGGTTACTAGCAGGCTATTTACTTGAGGTGACAATATTTACAGTAAAGACAGTACATTATTACTGTCTCATTATCTTATGGCAACACAACAATAGCTCCAGAGATGAGGATAAAAATATAAAACACGATAAAAAGAATCAGATTGTACATGTAGGCTTTTATTAGAGCAAACATTTCCATAACAATAAATATCTCATTAAAACAAACAGATGACCAAGTACCTTTGTTAAACACTGATTTAAAATGAAGTAAAAATTAGTAAAGTTAACTGTAAACGAAGATACTGCAGTATATAAACCAATGGGTCATCAATAACTTTTAATACCAGGACCTAATAACATTATTTTCCAGGTAAGTAATTATTAATGTGATAACCATAATTAATACAGATGACACAGGTAACATTGTACTCTTCCATAGTAAAGAAATATGTTTAATATTTTTATGAATCCTATCTGGTAGTATAAACTAAACTTTAATGGACAAAAACTTTTAAAATCTCAGAAAAACAGACATGATGAAAAGGTTAATAATGTATACAAATATTTTAAAGACATTATCACAGCTATGGAAATGAAAGAATCATTTGAATGTAAGAAAATGCTATAAAAGCAGAGGGTTGTCAAAATAGAGAAAAAGATATTTGGAAACAAATGAAAAGTCAAGATCCTATAGTAATAGTAACTATTTTTAATGTATGACAGATACTGAAATGCCTAGGCAAAAAGGAACAGACTGTTTACTGACGTGGTGGTGATAGTGGACAGAGGTAGCTTTTAAATATGCAAGGGACATAGCAAATTAACTTACCACCTCCATCAAATAAAAGTGAGAATCTCTTGGGAGAATTTAAGCACCATTAGTAGACACATCTTATGGCAGTTAATGAAATGCTTCATTTATCAGTGGAAGACTATTTCAATGGTGAAAATGACATAGGGATCAGAAGCATATTCTGCTGAGACCCAAGGAAGTTAACACTTTCC